CCCCAAAACCCCAAAACCCCAAAACCCCAAAACCCCAAAACCCCTCTAAGTTTAGAGTTTATTGACTAGAAATAAATTTTCCTGGACGACCTGTTGATCACCCTCCTCATCTTCTGTGGCGAAGCTGGAACTATCCCTAGATGGGGCTCTAAGAGGGACTGAGTCATCCTGAGAGAAATCTCCCCAAACAAGTTCCTAAACCCGTTTGATAAGACTTTGTAGAATTCATTTAGTTCAGCCTCCCTGGTTTTTAGTATGTCATCTTTGATAGTATGCATGCCCTCGGTTCTTTCTGAAGCTCCTTCCAAGAGGTTCTCAGAGATCCAGTTAATATCCAAGCTCTGGATGGCTTTCACAAAGTCTTTATCATCAGTAATAACAGTATCATTGCTTTTCAAGATAGCAGATTGTGAGTCAAACCCAAGCTTGGATTTGATATTAAAGCTTGGCCCTTTCTCGTTCAAGTATTTATAAAATCTCATGTAGAACCTTGTATAGCTCTTCGCTCCAACAAATTCTTCTTGGGTTGCATTCACCTTTATAAATTTGTTCCTTGAAGGATTCAGAAAGCCTATATCCCAGTAGGACATATTCGTTATGAAACTTGGGGAATAAACTACTGATATTAACCTTTTATGGTTAAATATCAATACTTTCACATTGTGATCTTGTAAGGTGTTCTTAAAATTCTGATCAAGCTGAAATTTCGAGGGATCTGTTAAATTAGGTGAGTTGATCTTTGCAGACACCCTAAACCACTTATTTGTACTTTCATCCCCAATTGCTTGAAAAGCAATGAACTTTCCAAATTCTCCATGGTCTTTATATTCCATAGTTATAGTTTCATTATCAAATTGTTGGCAAGATTCTGAAACTTGAATCTCTTCTTCATCATCATTCTCAGGGTGAGCAATAGTGAAGCTCAGTGAGAGAGATAAAGAGCTCAAAGAGCTCTCATCATCACTGATTAGCACAACTTTAAAGCCGCTAGGCTTCATCTCAGTGATATCCTTGGTCTCATGATCAGTGACTTCTACCTTCTTGATTTTCTGGACAGGTACCATCGGAATTTTTACAACTGAATTGCTCTCATTTCCTCTAGTTTGGTTTATCTCCAGAAAGGAAGGAATGAATCCCTTCCTTTCTGCTTGCAAACAATGAGGAGAATTTTCATTAATTGTGTAGACAAAGCCCCCTTTGGACTTTGTCAATCCTTCTGATGAGATTTTCGAATTCCCTTTACGTAATCTTAACAGCACATTAGAAAGCTCTTCCCCTGTCATGGCATTAAAGGCAAGGACCGAGATTTCCTTCTGATAATCTTGCTCAGGAGTACAGCTGACGTTAGTCAGCTGTTCTCTGATTTCAATTATCTTACTAAACTCTTTAATTTCTCTTCCTTTCGCAATGATCATGTATTTTCCAGGTAAGAGTTTCCCTTTATAACACACACATCCTATAATTCTCACCAAAAACTTACCTCGATAATCAACCGTCTGTTCTAATTCCTCTTCATAATCAATTTCACTTCCAGATTCAGAGAAATCAGAATCCTCTGATTCTGATTTCGAATCTTTATGTTGGAATAGTTCCAGAAGAATTGCTCGAACAGTGAGATTTTCAAAATATTTCTGTGTGGCGTGTTCATCCTGCTCTTCATGCTTAGGTAGATTTATTAAATTAGCTTGCTCTTCTTTCTGTTCTTCTTCATTTGGATCATTACGAAGCATATAGACAGTGGTGGAGTAGACATCCTGTCTTTCAACAGGAAGGTAGACTTCTACCTTACCATCTTTCACAGCTTCTGCTGGGAGATTGATAGTTTTACAGGCATTTTTGAAGAACTCGTTTTCTGATGACTCTACCCCACACATAGTCCTTGGGATTTGCTCAAAAATTACAATCCCTTTCTTGCTGACTATTCCCTGGAAGACAAGATCTTGGACTGGAGGCTTAGGCTTCTTAGGCTTCCTGTTTCTTACAAATGTCTTAGCCATACTTGTAGTTGTTTGAGGTCCAACATTGTACGGACTTACAAAAGTTTTAACTTTTCCAATACTGCTTGCTGATCTTAATGTTTTAGTAGCAGTTGCAGTCTGAGATCTCTCAGGCAAGAACTTCATTGAAGGGGTTTTATTTAGCATATTATGGCTTGACATCAATCTGTTAGAAAAATTGCCCCTATTATAAGGATTTCGTGAGCTTGTATTGCTAAATTCTGTCTTTGCAGAATAAGGCCTAAAAGCAGCATGAAAATTCCCTGAAGATCTTGGATTTATGGCACTACCAAGTCTTCGGTTCATGTATGAATTATTGCCTTTATAAGCACTGCCGATTTGTCTTGCCTGAGAGGATTTTGAAGGTGTCTTATTCATTCTCTCAGCTTCAATTTGCTTAACATCAAGGTCCAAATTCTCTGCTGCTTTTGTATCTTTGAAGGAAATCCTGAGCTTCACTGCTATCCCTTCTGCTTTCTCAGGATGTAGTTCAATGCTAGGATCCTGCACATTATCACAAATTTGTATCAAGAGATTTCATTTTGGCACATATTCGCATATTTTTGAAAGTGTTCGGTCTAATTTTGGAAAAATTTGGGATTTCAGTTTCGAAAATATCTGAAAATGCTGAGTAAAATCGTCTTGACGATGAGACAGAGTTATTTCAAATGCTCCTATTCTTCGCTGCTCTCTTTGATCTTCAATAATATTTCCATCGATACCTTTATTCACTTTATAATGAACTACCTTGTCAGGATTGTGGGTGCTCTTGACAAAGACCTTAATATCAGGAAATTTTTCCAAAATTCCATGCCTGAATCTTTTCGCAAAGGCTTGGTATTTATTTCTCAGAGTGATTGGTTGATAACTGGGTCTTCTCAGAGTTAGAGCAGTATTCTATAACTACAACTACGTCTCCATTTTGGAGCTCAGATTGTTCTTTGAACCTCATAACTGCTTTTGTTCGATCCTTTCTCTGCTCAAAATCACAGCTCTGCAGCACAGAGGATCTCACAAACTTATGGCTCAGCCCAGCTGAGGAATAAGTATAAGAGTCCTTAGATGCATGCATCGATGCGCTAAAGGGTTTATTATGGATATTTGGGTCATAATGGTTGTCCAAAAATCTTCCCCAATTGGCCTTAAAATTCTTCCTTAGCCTAATTTCTCTCTTTTTGGCTCCTCTACCCCTAACTGCTGTGGCATTGCTTTTCCTGAGACTCATTTTATTTTAATTAAAATTTAAAATAAATTTTAGCAGAAATCGGGGTTTTGGGGTTTTGGGGTTTTGGGG